TCTGAGTATCGCATTGGTATTAATATTGGTATTTTCTCTCAAAATATCAAATTATTTCCACTATATTATTATCCCTTATTTCTTGGAGTGTGATTCATCTCTCAAATGTTGACTCTTCCTTATAATTGTTGTTCCTGATTGATTTCTACATGTACTGTTTTAATTTCGCGATCGATTTTTGGTGTAATGTTGACAAAAATGTGTTCGGTTACTACCGAGTGCATGAATGCCTGACTCTAGTCGAATAGTGACACACGTGATCTGATCTTTTATTCCAGTATGTTTGATATAAGCTATTGCTGTACACTCGTCCTATCAAATCAAAACGTGCTATGATGCTGCTGGGAAATAATTTCGACAGTAGGTTAATAAGACTTTCATTTCAATGACCTACTTAAACAAACTTGTAATCTGGATCTGCCTAGAAAATCAGACTAAAATTTAAAGAGTAAACGATTTACAGAACATATTGTTTCCATGCAGTAGATGAAACAGACATGAAACCGAACCGATTGGCTTATACGTGATTACGATCAATTTCACAGGTGTTCTTCCTTGTAACGCGAGATTTTTATAATGGTTAAGATATTTTTCGAGAGTGGGCAAGATTAGCCAAAACATTCTGAGGTCAGTATCACTAACAGTTTACCTCCAACCTCTACATGTATCAGAAGATGTTACGATAAATTTAGTTGGACACGAACATTGGATATTAACAGTACATGTCTTAATATCGTTATCACTGTGCTAAAACTTGGAATAAACTTTGTTTCCCACAAGCTAGAAAGTGTCTTCTCTTATTTTTTTCCACTTTACCGTTTTATTGTTTATTCAATTCGCTTTTGGTTTCAAAGTTATTAGTCACAATGTTTTGTAATTTGTATCCTTCTCTCCAAAACTCCTTTAAAGCTATGAAATTCTACATTTATACCATTCTAATTCACTTTCACCAGTGATATCACCTGTTTTATCAATGTTTAACTCCCCTCTATTCATTTCACGCAGTGATTACGTGGCGATGAACTAATCTCCTCAGGCATATGTGTTATGGTTAAGAAAAACTTTCGCCATATTTTATTTAGTCACATGGAATGATGCAAGTCTTAGTTTTCAAAACAGTCTCTTGAGATGAGTGTGTTCATCAGTGAGGATCAAACTGTGTAGCTAACATTTATATTGTGATCGAAGCAGCATCAACATGTCCAAAGAGTTTATTCACACAATACCCAAGATATCTATACTTATGTATTCGAGGAATGAGAAGATTAACAAAGTGTTATTTAGAAAACATTTTTGAAAAGTGGCACATAGATTCCAATTTCGTGTACAATTAAGTAGTTCAAAACAAGCAAGGATTCACATGTGGGTACCATTTTGAAAAAAGACAATGCAATAGCTTAGCATCAATGCCGATAGGTAGATTGAACGGTGAGCATTGGGAGAGACATATTTCTGTTACTTTTAATATTTCGATTTCCTAAAAATTGACGACTGTAGTCAAAAAAGTAATGAGTATTTGTGTTTTTCTAAGAGATAGCGTACTGCATTCTCATGAAAGTTTAATATTTTGGGTGTAAATGTCTCTATTATGTTTCGCAAACCTGCCAAATATATGAAAACTGATGGTTAATCACTGTTCACTTCATGCTTTACGGTTTATTTAACTCAGGTAGCCTAGCAACCAGCTGTTGTTGAAGTTATCTGCAGCAAAAAAGTTAAACTTTTCGGTTAACAACTTATATAAGCACTCCCACAGATACATACACAGTTCAATGCGATAGGTACTTCATATTTCAGATTATGTGCCAGAAGAAGGCGTGGGGAAATCCTGAGTAATGGTTTGTTGTTGTTGAAATTTCTCAAAATATATTTCCTTGCTTCCCTCACTAAACTGCATTGCAATGATGGTTGTTTTGTTGTTGGTTGATGTGACACACGTGTTTCCTTATTTCATAGCCATATAAATTGTCGTGAATAATTTCGCATGACTACATTCATTCTGTCAGCTGTTACCCAAATTTTCTGAACTGTCATGCAACTGTTACGTCTCTTCGTTGAATTTCACAATAGGTTAAGAATTGGAAATGTGTATATTGTATTTATGTACTTTTTATTCGTTAATTGCTTCTGGTCGCATTATCGGATCCCTCTTGTGAGATGAACACCCAAGTAGACAATTTAACACTAGGACTGGTCTTCACAAGCAGATTCGGCTTCTATTTGTAATTCAGATGTCCACGTTGCATGTTTTTTTTAGAGAATTAAGGTATCATCATTCATGAGGCTATTACTTGACTTTCACTCCACTTCGAATCCACTTTTCACAGTACGGTAAAGGGTCGGTTGGCAACTTCCTTAGAATCCCAACGTTCGTCTACTCCTCAATTATTCTTTAGTATACGTATCTGATTTTTACACTGGGTATAGTGACGCATTGGCTTCCGAGATGATTATTTTTTACTAGAATGAGATGACTATTAGTGGTAATTTAGTTTCGATTTCATTATTTTCCGTATTTTACTAAATATAAGATCTATTTGTCAACACACATAAAATGCAACACTTGTGTTTAATTCCTCCTATCAAAGACGATTAACACTGCATGTTTACTGGGTAATGTAATCGTTTATCATTTACCATTTTTTGTGATAACCTGAGATTTTGTGGGCGAATATTCAATGTCATTTCATATTTCATTGTTCTGAAAACAACTGACAACTAGAGTGGAGTCGAAGTGTAGGAAGACTGAACCAGGTCCCTAGTCTGTGAGAAAGTATCCAACTGTTGACATTTTTTAATTTTTCAAATATTATAAGACGTTTTGTATTTCAGATCACAAATAAAACTTTAGCTATCCTAATTCAAATATCGCGTAAATGTTAGAGGTAGTGAGCTCTATTCTGCCATCTGTTTCAAAATGTGTACGTTACAGAGTTGCGAAAATTAACACCAGTATTTCGCGGAGATAAAAATTCACTACTTGATTGTTATTATGAATCCAGCTGATTACTTAGCTAACCTAAACGTATGGTTAGGCCTGTGTTATGGTGTTTAAATCCATTATTCATCTTCGCCAGATGAAGTAGCATAAGTACTGGTGATATAAAACGGACCTCTTGTCATTTGTTTTCCTATGAAAGAACCAACTAATAAATAGCCAAGATACGATAATTACCTGTCAAGAGGCAGAATCGTTGATGGATAGCTTTTCTCAAATCCTGAAGATAATATAGTAATAATGTATTTCCTACTTTCTGTGACGATGGTGAATGCATCTTGTGTGAAGAAAAAAGTACTGTGGAGCTGAATACGCTGAAAATTTTTTTTACTGTATATTCGCATACTGTCTTAAATAAAGCTTTACCATTGTTATAATTATAATTATTTTATAATTCGTGAAGATAATATGGTGATAATGTATTTCCTACTCTCTGTGACGATGGTGGATGCATATAATCAACTGACAAGAAAGAAGCAAACAAGGGAATCGAGAGATGAATGTCAAAAAATATAGATTTTTGAAGAGCAAATTCATAATTATTACTTATGTGTATGAACATCTAATACACTCCGATTCTGTGACCTAAATTTCATATTCTCAACTCAACTTATCATTGTATGATAAAATAGTTCGCTGACATTCGTGAGTCAGTGAGAACTATTCTGTGGGTTGATAGTGATTCAAACACTTTTGACTTTGTGATTTGTATTGATGGAGGCGGAGATTTCCATAGATTTTAAATGTATGTGTTTTCATATATATGGTCTTCAATTAACACTGGTAGAAACTTTCTATAGTCTATACTATCGGAAGATACAAATGAAAACTACCGGACTAGTTTATGAAAGGCAAAAATAAAATGCCTAGCTCTTCTGTCGGTGAACAGTGTCATTAGCCAGCCCACTCAGTAATGAAGTCATTTACAGAGCTTAACTCAGCGGATTAAATTGTTGCATAGTAGTATTCACTGAAGACGTTTCTAGCACAATTTGTCATCAGTAAATATCGGAGTAGAACACTGTGAGACTTCACCAAAATAAATTTTATTTACAATGGAATTATATTCCATTACAGTGCACAAGTTCTATTCTTATATCAAAGCTAAACTCAGTTTAGCGTCAAGAGTTCATTCTGCTACTGAAGCGCATACGGGTCAACTGTCTATTTGTATTAAGCACTTTTCATTCTAATAATGATCACACTGTATTCTCTAGTAAAATATAATTAGACAATATCTGGAGTATGAATTCCACTTATGTTTGCCTCTGTGTATATCTATACTCATTTTGTGAACCTGTATTGCTGTTTATAATTGACGTAGTAACGTGTAGATTGATAGTGCCAGGTGTTTTATGAATTATTGTTGATACCCCTTGAGTCCTCGTGATTGATGTTCTTTATTGATCAACATGGCTCAATTCACTCCACATAAACTTGAAGTTACCCACTCATACGTTTAACCAAATATGCAGTTATACATGAAAGAAAGGCTAATCATGTTTTCCAAAAGCTTTCCGCTGCTTTATTAGTCTGTTTTCATTTTAATTTATCCATTAACCTCATTCCACTTCTCTTCATCACAGCCTTTTTTATAATGATCTTTATCACAATTTCACATTTTCGACATCACCTTACCTATTGTAAAACTCAATACTGATTCACTCATCTAACAATCTTTCTAAATTTTGCAGTTACTCCAATTCAACCAATAATAATTTTTCATCACGTTCCCAGTGAAACATAGGGCTTCAATCTGGTGACTTGAAATTTCTGTAGCAGTGTTTAATTTTACAGGATGGGGTGGCTAGCCTTATGTCCAACCTTTCCTCTTTAACGGCATTACTTCTGTCTTAGCGAGGTAAAGTAGTCCGTCAGCCGGGGATCAACCACTAGTTACATTTATTCTTATCATACGTATATTTACTAGATATTTCTATTGCAGCCTAATAGTTTTTCTCGTAATTTGAATGCATGAAAATGAAGTTGTTGAATGAAATTTAACTTATTTTCATTATAAGTGAACAAGAGTTTATGAATAAATTACGGAATTAACATTACAAGTCAACAGGTATTTGCAAAGATTTGTGCATACTACATAATTGATAGCAATTGTTTGAAAGTGTCATGAATTTCAGTTGAGCAGGAAATAATTAAAGTAAATATATCAACCCGACGAACACGCCGCAGACAACAGCAGACAAAATGATTATCAGGATGAGCTGAAAATTGAACATTTCATTAGGCTGCGTACAAACACATAAATATTAACTGAAGACGAAAGCCGATGCACATATATGAATACAGAGATCTTGAAATGATTTGTATCTAATCAAAAAATAATTTCTTAATTGCATCTTATTACTTTTCCGTAATTTGACCATTTTACATTCTTTGAATATTAAAACATAGGAAAGTGGCTCTTAATAATATCCGATCAAGTGCATACCTTATTGTTGTAAGGCAACTGTCAATTATCTTGTAGGCAGTGGAAATTTCCAGCCGTCCGTTTAGGTAGCCATTAAGAGACTATTCAGTGAATACAACGAAATGTTTAAAGCTATACATTTTAGGCAGTAATGTTGTGAGGTTTCCTGCTACAATAGTCTATCAACATCACAGCATATTGCTACGTAGTAATCAGATATCGCATACTAATTAATGTATACACACGAAACCCGTAAACTGACAGCGATCAACCACTTTGTCATCTGTATATTACCTTATTAGCTTTATCCACAACTCGGATCGGATGGCGTGTATTAGGCAGAAAATTGACGATAATGTCGATCGAAATGCAGAATATACAAACTCACATCGAAGAAACCTAAGTGAAGAAGATGAATAGCTCTTCAAGATAATTATTTATATTTTGCCAGCAACGTATACTTAAATTCCTACCAACCGTGATGAAAAAACAAAACTTGGAACTTGTACGTGAAAACTCCAAATATCTTTTGAAGTCGAGGTTACACTTAAAATAAAATTCATTCTGAAGTCGCTCTTTGCAGTAAAATACAAGTATCTCTCGATACTCCTAGGTGTCCATTTCATCACATACTCAGAACTAATGATATATTATGAAACAATTGAAGAGGTCATTGCTTGTTCATATCATATTTACACCAGAGAGAAAAAAGGATAATTGTGCGTAAAGCCAAATTTTGTAATTCCTCCTAAATTGAGACTATATGAACTTACTTAAATAAATACCTAATCAGTGAACGATACAAAGATGAGATAATAATGTGTTCAGCATTGTTGAATTCATTCAATTCGATTAACATTTCCATGGAAATACTATACCAATAAGAGCAGCATTACAAATCGAGATGAACTAGATGTGCAAATATTACTAGTTGGAAATGAAATATGCGGTAACAGGAACTCACCACTAGTGGTATTCGGTAGTTGAGTTTCATTGCCTGTCAAAAAAGGAGAAACAAACACGTATCATCTTGATGCTGAATATGAATGTTTTGATAGAAAGTGAAACACAAGAATCAAATTTATGTCGGATTTATACAGACTGATAAGGTATTAGCTTCCATGAAAAAATGAGTTTAAATGAAAGAAGTACACAAATATTAAGATGGTTTCATGTGACACCTGGCAAACATCAGGACATGCCAGGAAGCGGACATGGAACTCAAATGTTAGAAACGTCCACGGTCACAGATTCAGGAGTTCTCAAAGATAGGAAACGTCAAAATGATTCCAAGCTTACAACCAATAAATTACAGATAATCTCCAAAAACAAAAAACGATATGCAAACGACACCAAAGTTGGGAAAAAAGGATACAAATCATTCACATTATGTACTCACCATTAGGAGTGGCTAAATAGTAGAAAATTTCAAAATATAAAAGTAAATCATGCATGCTGAAGAAAGCAAACTTAGTAAATTAGTGAAAAACAGTCGAGAGAAACCGAATTTATGAGTATATTTTCAAACATGATTTATGTCTGATGTCACACAAAATCGAAGACTAACAAGCGAAAACCGACAAACTAGCCAAAGAAGCAGCAAAGACAGGACTCCAGGTGAACATAGACAAGACGGAGGTTATGAAAATAACCAGCCAACAACAACATCCAGCGCCAATCACCACTAAAGGGAAGAATTTGAAAGAGGTTACTTCATTTTACTCCACTTATCTAGGGAGGATTGTCCCAACTAGAGGAGGAACGGACGAGGATGTCAAATCGAGCGACAATCGGGAATGCGGGAAACACATTTATCAACCAGAAACCAATCTGAAAATCGTCGTCACTCAGCATCAACAACAAAATTCAGTCGGATTTTCAATACAAGCGTCAAGTCACTTCTTCTATACGGATCAGAAACTTGGCGGGTCACAAAGAATATTTCCAACAGCCTGTATCAGACCCTTATCAACAACTGTCTTCGCTCTATACTGAAGATCAGACGGCCGGCCGGAAAGAATCACCAAGAAGAAACTATGGGAAGAAACAAAACAAGAACCAATCGCCCAAAAATACGGATGGGAAAGTGGAGATGGATTGGACACTTGCTGAGGAGGCCGCTGGGTGACATCACGCGTCAGGCCATTGCTCGAGTGGAACCCGGATGAGATGCGCCGAGTGAGACGTCCAACGTTGACATGGAGGAGATCGTGTGAAGTGGAGTTGAGACAGTAAGGACTAACATGCATGGAGGAGAAGAGCACAGCAGAATAGACTGTAAATTGTAGACGTGCAGGGGAAGCCCTATGTTCCCCTAGGAACCCAAGGGAATAACAATAATGGGTTGAGGATTTCTCGTGGCTCAATAAGCAATCATATGCATATCAATAGTCAGCAACAGTAGAAATTCATAAATGGAGAAAATGCTTCATTTTACATTTAATTCACTTGTATACACCTTACATAGTAAATATGATCACAGTTGATAAACTGACTTGAAACTTATTGGCATGAAAATTATCGACCACTTTGTTTCAGCCTCTGTTGAAGTTGTTGAGAGGGGAGTTCGATTAATAATGCATTGCATATTGAACTGACAGATAGTGCACACGAACTTGTCGAATCCATTTCACAAAATAAATCGTCTCAACCCGTGGTCACCCTAGGGGATTTCGTAATATTTCCTTAAGCATCATTTCCTGGAAGTGCTTGCTGCTTCATGATATCTTAGTTTAATAAGTGGAATATATTTCTTTTTTTCTGTCACCAATTTTGCGTTGTAGTTTTTGAATTAATATTTTTTACTGTCTATATGTCCTATTTTTCTTATTATTTTAAGTATTTGCTCTTTTGTATATCCTTGATATACGAATATTTTCCGCGTCTTTGTTGTTCTGTTTAGTTTTTATCTTTATATTTTTATTTTTACTCATTATATTACTTACTGCTTGTAGTTGGTTTCAGAATCCTAGTTAAATAGTTGTAAAATTTATTCGTTTAGAAATGAATATTCTGTAAATGGTTTCTATTGATTTTCGTTGTATTTTTCGTCTCTTATTGAAATAACTCTGACACATTTGTATTGTATTTCGTTTTACTTTTTGTCTATTAATCAAATGAAATTAACAAATTAATAAAATCAACGCTATTTTGCAGTAGCAAACATTATCCAAATAAATTATAAAGTGGATTATTTGGGATTACTAAATGAAAGTCCCACTGGAGATTCATCTCCATTAAATGAAAATAAGCTGTGATATCCTGAATTCAAATCATTCAAAACCATGAGGTTTTCGTTAATCAAAGAGGTGTTTCATTTCATCATCTACTTCAGTTTTTCCCTATGTAAATAACTGTACATTCCAAGGATAACGCTTTTTGTCTTTCATCTAGTACTTGTTGAATTTTGTTCCCGTCGGCTACAGTTAGACGATAGAGATTCCAGGAAACTGGATCTAATTCAGCTTGTTTCATTCTCAGTGTTTGTGTTTATGGATAGATTTGATAACTGTGGTTCTCATTACTAGGGAACTGATATATCCGAAGTTATGTTTCAGGATACAGTTCAACAAATCGCAGTTAACCAGACTATTTGAGAAAATATCATTTCAATCAGTCAAAACAAAGGTATATAATAAGCATGACTGTCTTGGTAACTTCATGTGTGTTCAATACTCGGTTAACTTTTAAAGCTCGAGTACAGCAATTATTCCACTGGTTTTATCGTAACTACGCAAACAACACTGTGTCCATGTTATTTGTTATGTTTGATTCTGATAACCCTACATTTTTATGTTCAAGACTCTGTGATGCAGATGTAGAAGACATATATCTAAGCTATTCTTAGACTTTGCACGTATGTCGCTTCAGTGTTAGTGTCGCGGCGGATAGTTTTAGCCATTAAAATCCGAAAAACCATGACGTAGTATGCAAGCCTTATGACTCTGGTCCATGTTATTTTGTTTATTAGATATATTATACAGTGAAACAGTACTATTCGCTTTTGATGTAGTTGTGTTCCGTGAGCTGGATGGTTTATTTTAGAAGCTGTCGTTGCTCAACTAGACAGTATTTTCAGCGCAAACATGAGTTTGAAGTGTTCATGATTATATCAGTTATAATCAAACGACTTCGAGACGTGAGTTCAAATTTATTTGCTAACTGTTATGATTATGAACAATAAATTGTGTTCGAAACGTCATCCAGTAAATACTTCTGCTGTTTTATTGTATGATATATATATATATATATATATATATATACAAACAATATGGAAATACATACTACCACAGTGACAAAGTCTTACACATATGATCACGGATTCCATTTTGTGTGTAGTTGTTTGAGATTATGTTAATCAACATGAGGCTTATAAAGTGATTCACTGGTCCAGTCTATACGTGCTAATCATCAGGATTGTAGAAACCAGACATTTGTCTGAATTTCTCACGATTTATTTAAGCGTCTGTTAAACGCCATTATTTAAAAAGTGTTTTGCAATCGATTTTGCTTAGTGCTTGCAGAGAATCTTAAGTATAAGTAGTATATACATTAAAGAAATACAATGTGAATTAGTATTTATAGAGTGAAGTTAATACCTCAGTATTACAGATAGATCATAATAAACCTACTTTACACACTGCTGTTTGCATAAACTTCTACTGTGGAAGGAATTCAAATTGTCCGCACACTCCCTTAAAAGATATCTCACACATTTGTTCTGCATTGGATCGTAGTAAAAACGGGAAGCAGGATCATAACATTCACGTTTCTTGACTTGACATCTATCTGAAATTATTGAAAGATTAATGCAACATTACAATTTAAACTAATGTATACATATTCAAGTGTTGGTTTGTAGGGATTTGATTGGTTTCAGGATTTCATCATGAGCTGACAGTAGTTAGAGAACCATTGGAAAACCTGAGAGTACTGGACAGCTGTTTCGTCCTAGTTTGGACTCTTCATCAGTACGCACCCGCCGGGATTCGAACCCAGGACCTTCCGGTCACAAGGCGAGCTCCTATACCAATAAGCCACTGGGACCCGATCCAATGGTCCTTGAATTCTAACTTCTGCCAATTCACGACATAGCGCGAACGCTAGCCAATGTCTTCGGCGAGTATTTGTCCTCACACCCGACCAGCTGCACCCTACTGGTCACGACTTCCCACTGGAACCCAGGTAACTACCTACCTGAATAGGGCCAGTCGCCAGTGAGCATCTTATTGGTATACATAATAAAGCAATCGACAATCAGAAGGTAGTCACACCACAATTAGTTAAATTTCACTTCATATCGAAACCACTTTTATTTCGTCTCATAGAACAATAACTAGAGAATGCAGAGCACCAGTAAACATTCTACACAAAAACGCCATAAAGTAAACCAAATTTATTTCTTAAATCTATTCGAATGAAGATCAGGTGATGAGACTAAATAGGTTAAAATATATTTCTTCATTTTGAAGTTATTTGACGTACACACTTCGATGAAATTAATAACCTACTAGATTAATTAACGTCAATCATAAGATATGGTGTTCGACTTCAGATTTTAGAAGCTTCATCAAGAACGCAAAATTAAAAGGACAGAGTACTAGAGTGCCAGTCAATGATTACCCTATAGACTCATAATCACCTTCAAAGTTTAGCAGTTTTGGGTGACATTAAGTAGAAATAGAGGCTTAAGATTTCTGCGAAATGAATCAGTTTTCAGTCGTATAGACACTGAGATTCACTTCAAACATCTAAATAGCCGGACTGGGGACTTGTTTCACATCTCACCATGAACAAGATAAAAGAGTCCTCAGTGTAGTTGTTAGTAGCCATCAAAATAGAAGTAGTAATGACAACCAAATCAAAATCATACCCCTGTGCTAAAAAATATCGCTACTACTGTAATTACATCCACATAAGTGAAGCAGAGGCTTACCAAATAAGATGACGTATTAGACATGTAGATAGTTGTATTACTAAATACGGGAATGTTGGTTGTACACAACGGTACAACTGATGGCTTTGAGATGAACTAATTGTGTAGTAATATAAGGAAATGTTGAGAGCGAAGTTAGGGGGATACGGAAATAATGAAATCAAAACTGACAGTGGCAGTCGAACTCTCAAGTCCTATTTTCATCTTCTTTATTCTCAACCAATGTGAATATCTGCATATGTATAACAAACTGTTCAAATCTAGTAAACCAATATATATGAAATTATGCTTTGTTGGAAAATTTGAAAAAATAAGCCAACTCCTTAGTGAGGAAGTGTGGTCTGAACGATGCATTAAATATAATGGCTGTGTGGATGGAATTATGAATACCCTCTGGTAATTTTTCCCTTTTCGAATTTATTGCTCCCTTCTATCTACGCTACTGTTGTGGAAAGTAAACAATCATGCAACAAAGTCATACGCTTCCACCAGTGTAAATGACGACGTCCACGTCATTCAGAGTACTATGGCTATGCAGACTATATGACACTGGCTCACGGATTTCAGCAAGACGTTTCACCATCTAGTGGTAAGGTGAGTTCCGCATATCTAATAAAGATCGCATAGGTTTACAATCTCCGCGTGTACTACAAAAGCTTATGAACAAGGAATGCTTAAAAATGAACGCTGTACAATATTCATAGATGCAGGTGAAATTAGTGAACTGATTTTTCAATCCCATTAGGGATTTGGATATTTTCCTCTCATTACTCATGTCTCTGTCTTTCTGGTTAGCTGACTTTATACAACCATCGTCATCACAGAGAGTGTTACAAAATTTAATATTTTAGTCGTTAGATATAGAAAATTAACTATCCTCGATCCTTCACTTGGACAGATCACTATTAAATCTTGGCTATTTATCAGTTGGTCTTGTTGGATTTCATCTTCTTTCGTTATAGGTTTTCACTGCCTACATTGAGTATTCATGTACTGATGGTAAGAATTGAGGTTTGTAGACTTTAATTGCTGATGCTGGCACCCAAAGTCAGTAAACTGGTATATTCAGTAGTATGCCTCGGCGAAATATCAGACTTTGAAATAAAACAAAGCGGATTCATTGCACGTCACGTGGAGGGACATCATTTTTATTCCGTTGATGTTCATATAATGCTTGTGTATATTGGGCACTATAATTTAAGAAGTGATACGCCATCGTTCTATTTCTTCATAGCGTAATATATCTGCAGAAAATAAATTGTGTGGCAACATGACTGTCCATGTTTATTTTGATAAAATCACACAGCGTTATGCTGTAATATCAATTGCAAATATTACTGTGTAACTTCATCAAAATAAATTTTATCCATAACTGAATAATGCTCCACCATAATTCTCAAGTTTATTCATTAAATCTATACTCGACACCGTTCATCTTAACAGTTCCTTTGGCGCTGAGCTACGCAACCAACGTTTACACTGTGGTAAGGAAGTCGAAGAAGCCTGACCAAGCGACCACGCACACTCTGAAATTGTACTCGTAATGATGTCACCAACCCTTATCTTGTAGGAATCACTCTCATCCTTTATGGTGACAGCAATATTCAATTTGTATGGTGGGAAAGTTATAATCAACGCTACGCTTCTACATTATGCAGCATCAACAAGGAAACCTGTGTGGAGGAAAACTGAAACTCCATGAAATCGATGTGGAAGAAAATGTGTATAGCCATCTTAGGTAAGGAAAAGAGGCAAGTTAGGGAATGAAAGACTACAGATACATGGCATATAATAGAAGCAAGAGTGATGGTGAAACGGAAGATGTGTTGGTGCGAAGATGAACAGAAAAAAGAAGTTGATTCTTGTATGTAGTGCGTTGAACAGATGATTGAAGAAGAGAGCTAGGGAATGCACAATACCACTTCATTCAACAGCTACATGATGTTTCCATATGTGCAGGAATTCACTATGGGAAACTTGACGAAATGAAAACAATGGATACACAAGGCTATTCGTTACAACTGACAGTATTCCTGATTTGAGTTGACTGGATCATTCAACATAATGTGGGGTGTAGTACGAATTGCTTACGTTTAACTACGAAAACCTTCCTCATACGATTTACATGGCGTAGTTAATATCCTATCGGGCAATAAAGTAAAGTCATCATTAATCCCGCGAAATCTTTATTTTTCGGTGAAGAAGAAATATATTAGAAAATATGCGGTTGTCTTAACACCAATGTCGGCTCCAAAGATTAAGTACTGATTGAAAAACAAATGCAGAGTAAGTCAACTAAAAGGTTTGAGATTCGGTTAATATTCAAAACGTGTTGTAAATCGTCAGGCATGTTGAAAATATAGTAGTTTGCAATGGGAAAATGTTATACTTGACGACGAAGACTTCATGATTTCCAGGTTAACTGACAAATTTACACAAGCATTAGGTTCAAATATTTACAGTCATACTGAGTACCTAATTCCAGTTTTCTTTTCGAGAAACAGAACTAATCAACCGCGAGCCAGATGTTTGTTGTTATCGAAATGTAAAATGCGCGAACAGTTTGTGATTGTATCCTAATAAACAAAAACGCGAAATTACTAAGTAATCCTATAAATCACACACGGTTTCGGGAACACTGGTAAATGAAGGTATGTGAGGTGTCCTCATCGACAGGAGTGCCAGTGTATCTGTGATCACTCTTTATGTCAATACAGATTAATGTATATAATAAGGAATATTGCGTATATAAGCAAACTGATTCAAAGTACTACGACTTCTCATAGATCGCAAGTAATTATTTCAATACGACTACCAGTGACAAATGAACTACGTAAGACACTTTTCACTTATCCATGAATTCAACTGCATCTGTGCAGTCACCTGAATTAGCTGTTTGTCTACAAATTTTATTTATCATTCGAGAAAAGTTCATGATGAGTGCACAAACATTTCGATTGTGGCTCATTTGAAGCATGTAAATCGCCTTGTTAAAAACATTTTGTAAATGTTTTCTGGTAATATTGACTTTATCAAGGTTTCCATTGCACTCTCCGAAAGTCGAATTACAATCGTGATTTTCTCACTACCTCAACAAAATTATCTTTGTACTCATAATTATTACCGAGTGAAGAACGATTGGCACTTAGTCTAAAAAACAGTTTCATATCCCATAAGTGAATTAAACAAAATTTCATTTGTTAGTTACGATGGCATATTACAATGAAGCAAAAAATATTACAAATCGCTTACCAGGGTTCGCCGTTGAATTCTTTTGAAAAAGCAGAATGAGCAGAAGTACTTTGTACATATTGTGACATATCCTAATGGATGTGAATGATGTTTGCAGCATTTAAATATATTTCTACTGCAAAAACACATACTTATGATATTTGTTGTAGTTACAAAGAATGATGGAGGGATATTTGAATTCGCAATAGATTTAAGCGAATAATGTCACGTGTACATGCATAATTATGATAAACTCAGTATGACCCACGCTTTCACTAATTTGTGTTGATTGATAAAAATAAACTTTATTTAATTTGGTGTAGTTCTATCTAGTTTAAAAATGTCTATTCTGTTGAAACTGAGTATCTATGGCTATTTTACATATGACGAATAGAACTCCTCCACTGATATCTTCACGCCTGTGTTCCTGAATGTCAAGTAGCTAGTTTATTAACTAGCAAAGAAAACACACTTAAGCAATAACAAAAGCTGCTGCGCAGTCATACGTCTACGCATGTTTAGTAAAACGTTAAGAGATGTTGTCAAATTTCAAGCAATTCACAGCGAAAAACTCAGCAATGTCTCTGAATTAAAGTCGGCAACTAGACAACAGTTCCACGTATCATCAGTGATTGTCGTGATTAAGACTGAATAAATCATAAGGTACACGTAAGGAAATAAAATAACAGTGATACATTAGGCCGAAAAATGACTGTGGAAGTTTTACACTTCGTGAACAACTTGTATCTAATGTTGGGCAAACTTGAAGGCTTTCAGACGAAAACTAAAGAGTTGTCAGAAGATGCATCGGATAATAAACGCACACAAGGCACAGTTGATGAAGATATCTAGAGGATCAATTCAATTATGGGCGTCGGATATGAGTATTTCAAAGGGAAAATAGGAAGGGCGGGATACACGCTCATTATTCTAAAAGAAGACAACTTCACTGAGTACAAACAACATGATTTGTATTTGCCACAAGAATGTCGAATCAGTTCTTCATGGTTCAAATACTATGTGGGGATTATGTGAGCATTTCCATCTGGCTATTTTAGTCTTTTATCAACATCTGCTTTCGCACACTCAACATCAAAAACCAGATGGCTGACCAGATGAGACTGGAAAAAATAAATTCTAATAGGCGACCAAACAATCAAGAACCTATTGTTTAAAAATCACGTCGAAGAAAATACAGATGGATAAGACAGATAGAAAACACACGTTTGTAAGACATTGGCCATGAAGCCACCGAGTGACAACAAGAAGCGAAAAGGCGATTTGAGTGTTAGGTCGAGAGACACATAGAGAAAAAAGTTCCAGCAAAGATTAAGGGATGTGGAGCTGCTTAATCGCATTAAAAATTAGAAAACAAAACGAAGGACAATGCAGTCTGACTGACATTATGATCACGGGAAATTTCATTGTTGAAAAGTAGACAGTGCTATAGAAGCGCATCGAAGTGGTGGTTGTAATAGAGAATAACATCAAGCTCCAATTTAGTCTTGCTATGAATTCACAGTCATGCATTGGCTTTTGTGAACACTAATCAGTTTTGACTGATGTGAACATGATGTATTGAATGAACAACGAATCCAGTCTATTTGACTAATAAAGATAATCTCGTAACATAATATTCTATCTTAAACAGCTTCAAATTTCTCCAAAATGTGGCTGTGAAATTAATGCTAGACGTGCATTTCCAAATTTAGGGAGAGTTGTTAGAAGACTTCAACAGTCTATCCCTTCACTTCTGTTTTCAAACTTTGAATTTAAGAAATATATTTTGCGAAAAGACTATTTTCACATAATTCATCAGTAAGCTCTATAGTCATATATATGTTGTTTTTCAGAAATTATAATGCGTGAGGAAATTAAAACAAAAATGTAAATATTCAAGTATTGGTTTGCAAGGATTTGATTGATTGGAGTACTGGAAAGCTGTTTCGTCCTAAGTTGGGACTCTTCATCAGTACGCACCCACCGAGGTTGGAATCCAGGACCTCCTCCTTACATGGCGAGCTTGTATAGCATTAAGCCACTGGGACCCAATCTAGTGGCCCAAGAATTCTAGCTTCCGCCAATTCACGATATAGCGCGACCGCTAGCCAATGTATCCGGCGAGTATTTGTCCTCACACCCGACCTGCTGCAAATATAAAAACAATAAAAGTAGTATTAAATGCAATATAAGGGTTCGCATTTATTATCATAATTCTGTGTAACGCAGCAAAAACATAGTCATCTATGGAATAGTTCATAAATGTTGCCGTGGACTGTGAATATATAGAATTATTCAGCAAGCGTTTATTTTTGCTGACGTAGTAGCATGTGTCATGCACAAATGATCTATGGCATAGAAATGGCTCACCATGCCAAAGATTACCAATGTCGTCTAATATATGAATAAGTTATTCTTCTGCTGTTTTTCTTCCGAAATGAGGTGTAGTATTCATGTGCATAAAACGCACCATCAACTATCCTTAAACTTATGGTGCCACATCCCATTCTGATATCTGATATTCATGCCAAAAGCATCCTCATTTTTTCCTAGTATGCATTCACATTCATTGGATAACCACATGTATATGCTAATTCAGATTGAATTCAACTAAACACTTGGGGTGGTAGCTGTAGAACTGGTTGCACAAATATGTGAAAATTACTAGTGCATTTACTTTTAAGTGATGAGCAGTAGGTATTGCACTGTTACTAATTACGTTTTCTGATGTGACGTGAATAAATCACTTGGAGTCACCGTGAACATAAGTTAGCATATGCAATACATTTCCTGCTGAAGTTTGAACAAAACGCAATGAAATTAATAACTCATATGTGGTTATGTTTAAATGACAGTCAATACATGTTCAGTAATTTGGCACTAAATTGTCATAAATGATTTTAAATATTTGCATTTTTGCCACTGATGTAAAATATATGCTACTGGCAATAGACAGGCATCATACTGCGTATGGACTCATAAGGCAATATCAGTTTAGTAGTGTCCTATTCCTATGGAACCGAATTCCTGTTTACAACATTATTACATATGCACAGGTGTATAAACCCTTATTAATAGCTGCATTTGTAACAAAATTCTTTCCATCGCGTCTTTAAAAGTTGTACGCAGATACATCTCTGCTTCAAAAGCAGCAGGAAATGTATATCAAGTGCTACCCTGTTGTGACTGTCACTCAGTTTAGTACATTTTTGTGGCGTGTGAATATATTTCCAGTAGTGTGATACCTACTACGCATCACTTGCTAGTGAAAGCATTAATAATTTTCATATTGCTATTCTACCTATGACGGAGGTTTCACTTAATATGTTTAACTGAAATCAGTTCGACTTGGTTTGTGCATGTATTGATTCAATGAGTGCAAATCCATATCAGAAGAAAATCTTTGCGTATACTATATATCAGAGTAGCATATGACTCTCTGAGTAGAGGCAATATTCCACATCAGGATTTTTCAGACTACTTTAATCAGAATCTGTAGACTTCTGCGTATACTACTGCGTTATACACTCCTAATACACGCCTAATACATAACTGACTCCCCTAAAATATATCGAGTAAATGAACACTGGCTGCTGGTATAGTTCCTGTGGCGGTAGATATTGTGATATGTGATTACAGTAGGTCTTCTGAAAACTTCATTTAACTACGTTAAAAGTGAACAATCCAAAAAACGTTTGTATCTCATCTCCCTATAATATCATGGAGAGATGAACACCTTTCTTAGTTCTTTTGAAAATTATGTCCACTTGTTCCCATGATTCTAGCTACCTCTTCTTTAAATCATTGTTTTGAGGAATCTGTTTGGCGCATCTCTTGATGTCTATATTTTCTAACGTTTGAATTTCAGTAGAAAGTGAATAGCAGCATCTAACACTTTTTAAATGCTGATTAATAACCACACACTTATGATTACAAATCAAGAAATGAGACAGATGTGGTAAGCAATAACGTGAATGTTCACAAGTTTAGATGTTCTCAATAAACTACTATCAATTGATTAATTAAAAAGTGCAGTCTACGATCTCCAGAGAATTCATCATTATTTATCTCATATTTAGGTTCAATCTTTTCTAATCACGCCTGAATGTGGCTTCATGTATTCCACGAGTATACCTTGTTTGGACACTAGTAACCAGTGTGATATGTCCTGTTCTTTCTTTCATATAGACTGAACTGTACCAGTTAAGCTTGCGATGAGGCCACCATTTTAGGTAGCTCACCATCACGGTGCGCACTAATTTGATGATTTTAAATGATTAAAGGCAATCAGCAGGAAGCCTTGGACCTAGATTTTTGTGCAAGTCGGCACTTGTTAGCAAGGCATATCTGCAATTTCGAAAGAACTGATGTCTTTTCTGAGATTCGAACCCGCGTCACCTATGACTGGAGTCATAGATGTTACCAGTGAACAATAGTGCTCGCGATTGGCCTCCTGTTGTACTGTATTGGATAATTTGATCGGAGACTAGTAATTAGTGTGCTCTGTCTTGTCCCTGTGTTTATCTGCCAAGTAGTGATAATTACTTGTGGAGAACGTAACTCAGAGCTCGTTTAACTGTTACTTATATGTGAAACGTTTTGTCAAAGGAAGGAGAAGGAATTCCACAAACCCGAAACCTAGAAGTGGTTCTTATACTAATTTTCAAAATATATCTTGCTCAATATACAGTTAGGACTCTCGCCGACCATGCACATGGTCCGAGGTTCGATCCCCTGCCGACTCACACCTGATAGCTATGGTCGGCCTGCGAAATTTGGGCTACCGATATCCACGCTGAAAATTGCATAATTGTACCAAAAATACAGTGTGGAATCAAGCTGTAATCAAAAAAAAATAACAGGACAAGTGAGTTCATGATTGCCTTGTGTTTCATTGTGACTCATTCAATGATATGTATGTAATGTTTCATTCAATGTTTATCGAAAATATCTGTCGACAGTTTCATAGGTTCAAAAGAAAGCACTAATACTTATATGAGTGTATTAAGTGGCTCTTTTTCGAATCATGTTTGACCACCTAAAACTCTCAGATTTGAAGACGCCATTCTGAACGGCTTCATATAATACTTACTCTGCAGCACAGACTAGGTAGAGTAGTAGACATGCGATGTGACTTTTTTCGCTGTGAGATAGTTG